TATCAACTTCAATTTTTAAATGGCAACATACGTAGTTAACTAGCTAACTTAATTGATTATTTATTAAATAATGGTCTAATTAATAAAATGGCATGGCAATAATAACTATTGAACTAGTATTTCAAAAATTATTATTACAGTGATGTTCTTCATATAATTTCACTAAATCACTAAATTATATGATTAAATAATTTGATATCTCTATAAATTTATTTAATATACCAACATTATTCTGTTTAATATATAAAGTAATTATTTTATCAATTAATTATTCAAAAAAAAAAAAATACTATATTGAAAATTTAACTTTTGATTTCTATTAGTTACATTTTTTTTATTAATTTATCAAACATAAATATGTTTCATGTTATTTTTTTTATATATTTAGAGAAACATCAACTTTAATTTTTAAAATTGTAATATACGTAATTCACTAGCTTTATTTAATATAATCTAGTTAATAAAATTACGGATCGATGACCAGTATTTCCAAAGTTATTAAAAATTTTATATCCAGGTAGTGAAGAGTGCGGCCTAAAAATGTCTAGTGATATATATAATAAAACCGGCGCCTCATCTTAATCCAATACTTTAATTTTTATAACTTACGAAATACTGGGCATTTGTTGTTATTGACCAAAAATTTTTTTCTAACAAGAACATTTTTAATTTTATAAGTTAATTAAATATGTATATCATCATGTGAAAAATGTAAGTTGATACCCGTGTAAGACATATAAGGGATGAACATAAAAATTACTTCATGAGCATACAATTGAGAAAATTATGGAACTAAAAGTAATCAATAGCAAAATTCTCAATATTATTTCTATTATTCAATTTAATGAGTGGTTAATGATGTCTGAATGATAACCAGTATTTCCAAAGATATTAACATTTTTATATTTTGACGGAAAGGGTGTGACTTAAAATTACGTAATGTTAAAAATAATAAAACCAACTCCTCACCTCCAGCCAATACTTTTAATTGTTAATTACTTTCGAAATATTGGTCTATTAGTTGTTATTCACCAGTCAGTTTTTTAATTAGACCGTTATATTTTTTTATAAGCTTATTAAATATGTGTGTTAACAAAAAAAAAGTTGTTATTCTTATAACAGATAAGCGATAGATCTAAAAGAATATTTATCAAATAAAATTCGAGAAATAAATAATACCGAACAAATTTTTTTTTTTTAATTATTATAATTTTAGGAGAAATTTAGTGGTCGATTAATAAACGATTAATCAATAACCCTGAATTAATAATTATTTTTTAATGTTATGTTTTGTAAAAACAGCTCATTAATTTATGAAAATGTCATAGTTTCAAACAAAATTAAGACAAATTTTGTTGTCATCTTCATATTTATATTCGAGGCAAAATGCATTTGATAATCGTGGTTATGATAATTACCTAATTTGATATATAGTAAAAGTTATATGGAAGGATCACATGACACAATGTGTGCTATGAATGTTTAATTTCACGTACATATGTACTCGAAGCACGCAAATATTACTCACTTAGTCATTGTCGGGATAAATGTTCCTCTTACCATACTATTTTAACATTTATAATATAGCTATTTATGAAATTTGTGGTGATGTTTAGTTTAATATTGAGTTAAATTCTATGTTTTTTTTTTACAACTATTTTTTATTGTAATTTTATGGATATATGGAAAATATTTCTTTTTTGATTGCATCAATGCTTAGTACCTCCCTAGAAAAAATGTCTGAATTCCACACTGCAGATAAAGTTAACTATAAATCACTTAGAAAATAACTACTGAATAAATGTTCAATTTTTTTGTTGTACTGTTAAGAAATGAAACAGTAGCTGGGATATATTACAATCAAAAAAATCTTACCATTTCCGAATCAAATAAGTAATACTATTTATTAAGTATTTGAAAATGTGTATGGTCATATTTCTCCTTTATTTGAGATTCTTTATTTTGTGTTAAGTTAAAAGTTTTACATCATATTAGTACTTTAAAAACTTGAGTATTAACAAAGTTATTTTTTGTTGTTAATTTTTATTCGAAAAGTTTTACTTTTATCGTACATTATTTAACATACATTTGAATAATAACTTTTCACGCTTTTGTTAGGTACTTAATATGTATGAGCTAATTTAAATTTAAAAAATGGATAAGAAGGTTCGTCAAATACAGATATGTAATCACGTGAAGAAGTATTTTTCATTAATTTATAAATTATTTAGTTTAATTTAATTATAATTCATGTTTTCTAATAAAAATATGTATGATTTTCCCTTTATTTTTCGAATAATATTTTGGTGTACTGATCCAAGATCCGGTTGCTTTGGGATAAGTTGAGGTTATTTTATTATTTAAAATTTTTGATTAAATATTTATATTGACCGAATGATTTTGCTGTATTTACTTTTCGAGTTAAAGTATTTACTATATTTATATTATTTTTCAATAAATATTCCAACAACATTAAGTCAATACGTTGTCATAAGTATTTAATCGTATAATTAATGAGTGAATTACATGAATTCAGGAGAAATGTATCATCAAATAATGATTTGTGGAGGTAGTACTTATAGTCTGTAAAATATTATGTTAATGGTCACTATATTCTCATTTGTACTACAAAACGATTGTATCTCTAAATGTTACTTGGTTTTTGGATTTTCCTATTCATTACTCTGCTTTATTTTAAAATAGATAATGGCAATTTTAATTATTAGAAAATCACGTAATCGAGTAAACAAGTGAAGAAGTCGGTTGAAGTAAATGATATTTTTTTGATAGTTGAATTTTTCCACTGTGTAAAATCAATTTAATTTGGCCAAAATAAAGGTGAATCTCATAATGATTAATAAAAATTATGCTTGCGCGACTTTGGTGTTGTGTAATTTATATTTTTCTCTAAGACGGTTATTTTTCTTTATTCTAAAATTTACTGATGTCGCGTCCGGAGTACCAAACGTACTTGAGAGATAACGGGAAAATATCGCTTGCGGACGTGCTCTGGATCGTTCAATATTTGTCAAGTAAAATATTGCGTCAACCTTTGGCTTATTGTTCACTATACTTAGCCGAGAAAAATAAATAAATAAACACATTATCTCGTGACTTACTAAGCGGGTCTTAGCAAAACCACGTTCCGCATACTTAGCTACAGGTACGTTTTGGATTTCGCCGAAGTATATTCCGATGTAATACGTATGCCGTGGCAACCGCAGCAGACTCCACGTGTGTATAAGATGAACGTGATGTCGTGTATATTTTCATCAACTTTAGCATATTATTCGTACGTCGTTTTTACAGTTAGTTTTGCCGCCCTTACAAAAACCACGTCGCGCCGCCAAATAATTTAATATGTTCAATATATAAGACGCGGTAGTCAGAATGGAAGTCGTAAGATACTCGAGATGTTTTTCATTTTGCATCCCACTGCAATACGACTAGCGACGACGTAATATCATACGGCTTAACGTTCATTTTATAAAGATAAAAAATATATGTAATTTTATCTCGTTTATAGCAGCTACTCGTCAAAATTGTTTATACAAATACCACCAGAGGACGAGGGGAAAAAGCGTATAATTTTCTTTGTTTTATTTAGAAAAAATACAATCTGTACATATATACACAGAACTTAGGCTAGCAGCGTAGTATAATAATATAAAAAACGGAGTACACAACAATATTGAATGGCCCTATGAATTCGGGTAAAAATGTGTTAATACATTTTTATGGTTGCTTTGTTTGTACTGCCGTTTAGAAAGAAAATAACGTTATTTTTGTTAGCTAAAAACAATAAAATTTTATTTGCGAATAACAATCTACTATTGCATGTAGGTGATTGTTACTACTATTACAGTCTAAATTGAAATCTTATTACCAACGGTTATTGCAGCGCAGTAGCTTGCAATTAACATTGTAGTTATGGTACAGCAAAAAATATCACACACGTTAAAGTTACAAAAAATTATTTCTAATTATCTTTTTCCCTTTATAAAAACCATCCACGAATTTTATCATTTCAAATGATATCTAATTCTGAAATGTACAAAAAAAAAATGTAAAAAAATTATTAGACATTTCGTTAAAAGAAGAATAATTCTTAAATCGACTATTTACCACAATTTATAAATGTTAGGTTATTTTTATTGATGGTTTAATACATTTTCATCATAACCGTATTAAAATCTCCAAAGTTTATATAAAGTTTGTTAAAACGAAATAATTTTTTTCATAGTAATGGGTTTAATTGGTATAATGGGTATAATTCATGGATACAAGAATATAGTTATAGAAGTTAAAGTTGAAATAATAAACAAATAATTAATTTTTTTAAAAATGTGAAAATTGTTTCTTTATTCGTTCTCGATATGTCTTAGAGTTTAATTTATTTATTGTACATAATAACTATAAAATTAATTATAAACAACAGAATGATGAGAAAATTAAAATTTTGCAACTTTTGTTCTTGCATAAATTATGTAGTTTGTCGATGAAACTTTTTACTTTTTAGTAGTTGATCTTCATACACATTGTTGCTTTTAATTCTCCAACAGTTTGAATTATTACATGAAAGATGTTTAAAATATTATTATTAAAATAACAAAGGCTACAAATGATTTTAAATATCCTCAAGGTACTTTTAAATACTTCTCTAAATTTGTTTGACTTACTATACTAATAAGGAGATATCAGATAAGCAAATTATTTATGACACATTTAACTCTTTTTATAAATGTTTTTAACTAAATTTCTGTTACAGATAACTTATAAATATCTTGTAGAACAGTTTATTAAAAAAAAAAAATGGCGCGAAGATGGTGTTAATATTAAATATTTATTTTGTTTTGTCAGATTCTACATAAAAAAATATTATTTATGAATTTTGTGTTACATGAGAATTTTTATTTTTAAGAGTTTTTAGTTTCTACGAAACTCAAATCCTGAGTGTAATATACTTAAAAATGTATTTACTCCTCTATTTTGTTATACAGGTGGTGTACTCCATTAGTTGCAATTAGCCTGTGTCTCATGTTAGCAGGTTGCATCTTCTCTTTCAGTGGTCATTTTTGTAAAGATCAAAAGACACTAATTGCTTCATCTCTTTACACGTTGGCCGGTATAGTATTTAATTTTATACTGTATATATATAAAATAGAGTCAGACTTAATTTAGTTAACACCTTAAAAATCAATTAATTTGCTTTTATTATCCACAATACTTATTTTAAAAGTAGCGTCAAGTTAATACCATACAAATAACATAAACATTTTACAATATTTTTTAAATTTTTTAACTGAGAGAAATAAAATTTCTTTCATCTGACTTTGGTTTTAATTTTTAAGCTTTCCTAAAATACTTGTATTTTTAAACGAATAATATAATGATTCGTTTTATAAAATAGTTCAAAAGTATTTTCAAAAAATCACTTTACATCATCTGAAAATTTAGAGCTTCTACTATGATAAATTTACCGAATAGTTACTTCATGAATATTCCTTAGAAAAAAGAGAAGAAACCTCTAATGAGCGTTTTCATGGATGATAATAACTTAATATTTCAGTCGTATTATAAAGAAGTTATTACTTTGAATTTCGAAAGGAAAAGATGTGAAAGGTGTTCATTATTAATTCAATACATAACTATTATACAGTCTCGTTTTTCATTTAAAAATTGTTTAAAAGTTAGAAAGATTTTATTTGATTATTATTACATAAAATAATACTTTACAAGATATAAATATTATTAACTGATATTAAGTGGACATTAAAATACATTTGTTTTTTTAGTACATTTAAATTTATACACAAAAATACAAAATAATTAGTCTATTATTGATCTCTTCTTAATTATTCAAAAATTAATTTTATTTAAACATTTTAGTTACATGTATTTCTTAATTTATCAATCATGAAATATTTTCCTATTTAATATTAAACAAATTATTCATGGTAACATACATATTTAACTAGTTTATTTGTTAGTTTGTGATCTAATTAAGAAAATGACTGATCGATAATTATGGAACTAAAAGTAATCAATAGTAAAATTCTCAATATTATTTCTATTATTCAATTTAATGAGTGGTTATTGATGTCTGAATGATAACCAGTATTTACAAAGATATTAAAATTTGTATATCTTTGTGGAAAGAGGAGTATGGCTTAAAATTATCTAACGTTAAAAATAAAAAAACCAACTCCTCGTCTCCAGTCAATACTTTTAATTGTTAACAACTTACGAATTATTGGTTCATTAATTGTTATAGACCAGATATTTATTAGCTTGGTTGCAAAGCGAGAAGGTATTAGTTTTACTATGATGTGTTTTTTTTATGTTGCTACTTTTTCTTAACTATCACCGGACTGACTTCTTTTAAATCACAAATCGTACCTAGTTGAAGACATTGCCCTTAAAAATTGAAAAACATTTTCTGTAAATGGGGAAAATCCTCATAGAATTTCAATGATTAAAATAAGTAAATTTCAACATTTTTTAAACTACCATAACTTTTTGTAAAATAAACTTAGCAAAATATTTTTTTTACATGAATACTTTAAGTATTTTCCTTTCATCTACTATAAATTTTTTTAAAACATTTTACTTGCCTACAGAAGGGGATTTAAAATGGCCCTTATTGCATATAAATAAACTTTTTTAACTTAACTTTTGAAAATGTTCCGGAAATACTGTGTCTTTTAAAAATATGTTAAATAAAGCTCATTTTACGTAATTTAAGAGAAAAAAAATTGAGTAGATACTTTAAACAACTTTTAGATTGGTTTTTTAGATGCTAACTGTAAAATTTTGTGGTGCTGTGCGTTTTATTTATATGTTCAATAAAATTCTTCATAAGAATTTTAATGATCCATACGTCAAAATACCACGATTTTCATTTAGTTAAAGATTTAGTTACAAAATATTGAAAAAAAAACCCTTAATTTTAGAAATTTAGACAAATATATAAAAATTACTCAAATATAAAAAATGGTAACTTTAAAAAACTTTTTTGAATTAAATATCTACACAAATAATAAAAGTAGAAAGTTCATTTTAGCTTCGATGCGAAGCTGAAAAGGTATTAGTTTTACTATGATGTGTTTTATTTTTTTTTTGTGTCTGTTACCACTTTTTCTCAACTCTCACCGAACCGATTTCTTTCAATGATACGTTAAAAGATCACAAATTGTATCTAGTCGAAGACATTACCCTCAAAAATTGAAAAATATTTTTAGATTATTACTAATTAGATATCGAGTATTTATATGTAAAAAACTTAATTAAAAACAAAAAAAAAAACCTCAGTACATTGTGGTCGTGGAACAATGGGGACGTGGAATAGTTGGGTCAAGTATAATAATATCTNAATTACTCAAATATAAAAAATGGTAACTTTAAAAAACTTTTTTGAATTAAATATCTACACAAATAATAAAAGTAGAAAGTTCAGTGATTAANAATAGTTGGGTCAAGTATAATAATATCTGACAGTGATTAAAATCACTATGATACAAAACGCTTCTATACAAATCTTTAGATAGTGTTTAATATTAAAAAATTTATGGATTACTCCAAAAGCTACATGATCTGCTATTTCCTTATTTATATCCTGATTAAGATAAAGTATGTCGAATAAAAAAGGGATATAAATATTATTTTTCATAAAAAAATTGTATTAATCCATATATTTTTCAAAAAGTTATAGCATTTTAAAGTTAAAAATACGATTTGTGATATTTTGACGTATCATTAAAAGAAATTGGTTCGGTGAAAGATGAGAAAAAGTGGTAATAGCCACAAAAAAAAAAACTAAAAATCACATCATAGTAAAATGAATACCTTTTCATCTTCGCATTGTGTTAAAAAATGTTCATTATTAAATATTTAAGAATGATTTATATTAATTATTAATATATTGGACATAATACATTCTGCTCGTTACGTATTTTTTTCAATTAAAATATATTTAATGATTATTCCTATGTAACCTGATAATCAAACATATATTTGTTATATTTATTAGAAGGATTGTGTTGTTATGTAGCCCCTCTAAACTCTACTTTTGTGTTAGACTTGATAAAAAAAAAAATTGGATTGTGTTTTGAATGACTTGTTTTTTGTTGAAATTAGGAGATTTTAGCCTAACAGTAGATTATAATATTAAGAAGATAAATTAAACTAGTTTTTTCAAATTTTTTTTATTTAGATATCTTGCGATTCGAAAACCAAAAGGTTCATTATTCAAGATTTGTTATTAAAAATAGTCGAACTAATCTCGTTAGAGCGCATTAAAAAATATTTAATTACTATTAATCAATATTTAACTATATTTTTACAAGATCATTTATAAACGGTCGTAATAACCATGTATATTGATAAAATGAGTGAATTATCCGTCAAAATTACAATAATAAATTATTGAATATTAATTTAATTCTAAATCTAATTACCATAATAAGTATTTATTCATATATAATAATTATAAGACAAAGAATTATTAATAAGGATATAATTAAGGAAATAAAAGTTGATGTTGCTTTTGAATTAATCCCCTAATTTCTATAAATTTAAACACTATCCACAGATTTTAATAGACACGTTTCTTATAATAGTGATTTCAATCACTGTCAAATATCATCTTTACTTGTCTTATAATTTTCTTACAATCATTTTAATGATCTGGCTAATGTTTAAAAATTGTAGACTAATTTTGTTTTAAAGGTTTTGTGATTGAAGTGATTTAGAGCTCCTAATGAGTTGTGAATAATTATTATAATCAGATTATATTACTGATTATTAATATTACTGATTATAATCAGTAATTTTTGGACAGAGGTTGATTTTGCATATAATACTGACTTTTTGATAACATTGATTTCAGTTTTGAAAATACTAGCCTCGCAGGGTAATTTAAAAAACTATTGAATATTTCAATTTCTGAAAACTAAACCTCCGCCATTCATTTATATTATTAGATGCCCCAGTGATAATTAAACAAAAGCCACTAAAGTTAGACTTAATTGTATCATTAAAAAATGTTAAAATTATTAATTTTATTGTATTTTGTTTAATATTAGAACATTAATGATTAAGTTTAAAAATGAATTTTATTTTTTTATTAGTTTAAAAGTGTAAATAGACATTATGGATTTAATTTAATAAATTACCCATGAAATTTCTTTTCATTTTGATGGTATCCATAAAATATATTTATTTATTGACCAATTTAAATGTATATAGCAAGTTCATTTTCGTTTAGGTCGTTTATGTTTTCGGCTGTCGGATTATAGTTTACTCGTTGCTTTTCTAACTAAAATCCAATTGCCTAACAGTCAATTGGATTTTAGTTACTTTGACCGGAAAAAAGACCCGGCGAAATGACAAATGCATTAATAACAATAAATTGCGAAAGCGTATTGAAACACAATGAAAATGAATGTCGTTTAGTAGCAAAATGAGATCGTTATCATTAGTCTTAGGATAAGTGAATTAAAAACTAAGTGACAAGCTATAAAAGTGTAATTATATTAGTCTGTATGACAATAACTGTTAATAATGAGCTAGAAGATAAAATTGTGAGGATTTGACAGGCAGCAATAAACAAGACAAAGGTTTTTAATTTTACTCATGTTTCTTAAAAAAAAAATCTTAATTAGTGTTCGTTGGCCCAGAGCGAATAATAATAATTTTAAAAGCAATTCGACTAAATCTCGTTTTTTTTCATTTAACACGAGTTACCCATCCAAGCATGGGCCAAGTTTGTTTGTCGGAAGGGACTAATGACTTTTGCCGGATAAATGAGAGGCAATTTTCTCTTGCCACCTAATAAAAGCTGTGTTAAAAATGGAGTGTATAGGGGAAATAATATGCAAGGGTAGAAAGGATAACGTTAAACAAATAATGAATGCATAAAACTTCGAGAGCTAAAAAATAAATAAATTCTTTCATTTTATTGTTCTGCTGAATATGCTAAAAGTAATTAAACTGTTAAAAACAATCTATATTTTTTTTCGGTAACTATTGAATATGTCATCAACAATTTATTGTTACAAAATTAATTAGATTATTTTTATAAGGAACTTGTTTTTCCCACTTGACAGATAAAAACAACACATATAA